TTATATTCTCAATACATTCTAATGCCTGTCTCACTACATTCTTACCAACATTAGGTCTTTTTACTTTTAAGAATCTTTGCAGTGGCATCTTATTTTATTTGGCAGTTTTAATTGTTCAAATATATTAGCCATTTTTATTTCCTTTATGAGTTGTATTTAGGTCTTTTGTCTATTTTTATGAGCCTTTAAAATATTTTAGGAACCAGCTGGCATTTTCCCAGAGAATCATTAATCACTCTTAAATAAATAAATCTCTGTTGCTACTCCTTCTTAGACAAACTTAAGTTGCCCATGTGAGAAAAAGAAATAGCTTGATTGCTAGTCATTGTCTACAACTCAAATTTTATGTTGTGCCTCCAAAGCATCCTCTGAAATTGGCCAAATTTGTAGGAGTGATGGTTACATTGGCTTCTTGTCCATCTGTTTGAGCTGCTTTGAAGGGTGCCTTTGAGGTGACTCCCAAGTCTCCATGGTAGAGGCTGGCATTGTAGCACAGCAGGCTAAGCTGCTGTTTGTGATGTCTGCATCCCATATTGGAGTACTTGTTCAAGTCCTGGGTGCTCCACTTCCAATCAAGCTCCGGGCTAATGTGCTTAGAAAACAGTCTGTGATCTTTCAACTGGATGAGGCCCTGCAACCCATATGGGAGACCCAGACCCAGACCTGGCTGTTTTGGCCATTTGGGAGAATGAACAGCTGATGGAAGATGTCTCTCTGTCTCCTCTTTCTCTGTTGCTTTGCCTTTCAAATAAATAAATCATAAGAGTCTCCATAGTGAAGTTCATAGATGCAGTGAAGCCCAGGTTTCTAGTCAGGGCATCACAAATATATCAGAATTTAGTAAAAATCAGTCCTGATTGTAAGTCCTTATTTTTGTCACAATTGTGGCTATAACAATGGTTAACTACAGCTGCCATATGGGTCCTGCTTTCTCCAATTTACATGTATGTATGTGAGGTAGCTTCAAAAAGTTCTTGGAAAAAACAGGATGCGGATTTTCCATGAATTTTTGGAAGCTCCTTCATATATGTTTCATAAATATGTATATATTAGAGAAGCTCTTTTTTATAGTCACAGCTACTTTTTTTCAATTTCTTGCATTAAGCCTTACACTATTTTCATCCAAACACTTAATAGTCATTATGGAAACTCCAGACAGCTTCCACCCCTTACTGATGGATGTACAAGAACCACTGTTCTAATGATGTAAAGATTTTTACCTGAACCTAGTGAGGGAAAAAGCCACCTGAGGGCCTTTCTTGAATTTGGGAACTTACGAAAGATGAAATCAGTGTCTGACTGGCAGTGGAGTCCGTATTTTCACAGCTTCATGTAATTTGTGAGTCTGTCTGATAGCTTGATGCAAAATAATGTACCCCATTTCTGATTCTAATAGCAGTAATCAACAGCTGAATGTTAGTATTTCCATAAGGGACTGTTCAACTTTCTCTGTAGAAGAATTGATAGGTTATCCTGTTGGACCATTTCCACATGTGTGCCAGTCAATGTAATTTTGTTGGTAAGAGTGGCTTTGATAGTATCTAACTTTGTTCAATTGTATTATCTTGCTTTGCTGGTGATTTTCTACATCTTCCTTTCATTATAGGAACACATGTTTTTACATGGCATCATAACTTTGTAGTGAAAGGTGAACGTAGCATCTTTATTCTGTGTATGTAGAAACTGGAAGGCAGTCATCCTAGTTACATGACCGTGCCAAGATAGCAGGTTCCTGTTCCTTTTCTGCCATTGGTAGCCTTGCTCTGTTAAACCACATTGCCTTCCTTAAAATGAAAAAAAAAAAGAATGATATCTGGACCAGTTCTTACATCCACATATCAGTACTGAAAATGCCCTGTAGAGTTGATTCTGCCTGATCTTGAAGAGATTTACATAAATAGTGAGCTCTGAAGGGTACTTGTACATTCTCAAAGTCCTCAGGGTGATGAGCAGAATTTGTTCTTAAATATGCTGGAGGTTGATAGTTGCCTCATCAAATGTAAGCGGTTTCTTATCCTGGATTTTATATATTCCATGTTTTTACTTGTGAATGTACAGTCAAGTCCATGAGTTGAGTTGTTCTTTGGGTGACTGGTATCCTACTTCCTGTAGGTATGAATGTGTAGCAATCTGAACTCTTGAAGTCATTCTTGGACTCAAATCTTAAGTCCAAGAGGACTTCTTTTCACTTCTATAGATAACAGAGGCACATACTTTGGTTAGCTTTAATCTTAGTGATTTATTTTCTGTTTGAGAGTCTTAGTAAGATTCAGAAGAAAATGTATTTGAGATCCTTGCTATAGCTGATGTTTTAATATCCTTTGAGTTGAGCTTAAAGTCTGAACAGCCTATCATGGGCCACAACATATTTTCAATTAGTTTAGGCCTCTCTGTGGTCAAATCTGGGTAACCATCTTTACTATCTAATATTTACAATCTACCCTAGATGAGTAATGGGACTGGCTGACAACAAAACCAACAACCAAGCAGTAGCAAAGAGATGCCATTTAGAAAACACTTGTGGAAAATGTTTAGATTTGTAGTTAGAGACCCCAAAACATGGCTCATTAGAATCAGTATCATGTAGCTAATTACCAATAAGGAAATATAATAATTATTATTATTAAAGTAACATAACATACTATAACTTTAAATATTTTATAGGAATGAGTTTTCAGAAGCATTGCTAAATATTTAGCCAAAATACAAACTTTTTGTGAATTAGAGAAATCACTCAATATTTTCATAATATGGTATCAGCCAGCAAACCTAAAGACCCTTTGATATTGAAAGTTACATCAGAAAAAAAGTACTTCAGAATAATCTATTAGGTAAATGACATGAAATTGGCATTTAAAAAAATGAGTTTCCTGGTATTTGTGCATAGATTTACTGTTAAAGTAGTACTCTTAAATTTCAATGACATGATTTATTTGAAAAATAAAAATTTGAAAAATAAAAATTGGTGAAAAATAAAATGAACTTTTAACATATCTCTGTATTTTTATTATAGCAGAGTACACTCAGAATCTAGTAATATTAGATTATTTTTAAAAGAAATTCCAGGTTTTGTATAAATTAAGCATAAACCAAATAATTTTTAAATGATTTTTATAAATTAAGGAGTTTTGATTTCTTGGTTCCCTGTTTTCTCTATATAAACCATTTCCTAAGACTTTATAATTGAATCTTCTTTTTAAATATACTATTTCAAGTGTTTCATCTCCCTGCCCTCATTAGGTGTATCTCATTAGAGATAATGTTACTAAATAGTTATAGCTTTACAGCTGCTTTGATTAATGATGGCTTGGACTACAGTTTCATCAGCTAGGATTAACTTCGTTTAAAGATGGCAAAATGCCATCATAACATTAATGCCAGAATTTAATGAGAACCAGAAGTTAACTTCAAGGACCTTTATAATTTAATATGGGGGCATGATCATGCTCTCATTATTTTAATGTTGCATCCTATTCAAAAGTGTATTTTTTTCTTATGATAAAAAATTTCACTCAGCAAACACTTACTGAATATTGACTAAGTGCCAGTCATTGTGGTAGAGTCTTCAAGAGTGAGACTGTTTTCCTTCCTCAATCAAAACAGATCTTTTCTGATCAGAGTAGAAATGAGAAACTGCTCCCTTATTTGGGAATCTCATGGCCTCCCTTAATCTTGTATGACCTTGGTTTCCTAAGGTACTTATCTCCATAATTTCTAGTCAATTTCTTTTTCATTTTTACATCAGCCACTTTCTCCATTGTCTGGACTGAAAAGTTGGCCAGCTATGTCCTATAATGAAAAAGTCTGGGGCATTGAATTTTCTAAGTTAGATATATTAGAACTAAATATTCTCTTTGTATATACTGGTTCCCCATCATGTTGAACGGCTATATTTTATAGGAGGAGAATACTTAAGTGTTATAGAACTACACGGTAAAATCAGAAGAAAAGGAGGTAGGAGAGGAAGAATAGTCAATAGGATTCTTTCTAGTCCATTGAGGAAAAATCTTCCTGTACAGAGGGTAGACAGTATTATCTTCTCACAAATGTAGACTTTTAATACCTTCTCTGTCCTAAAAATCTCATGAGTTGTATGTCTTTAAACCTAGAAGGCCATGTTACACATCCTTGAAAACTTATATAGCCATACTTGGAAAGAATGTTGAGACCTGCTAAAGTCAGACTATAATCCACAACCTAAAATTAGAGCCCCGGCAAAGAGAAAACTGCATCTGAAATTTCCCCATAGAGGAAAACCTCAACTGTGGAGCTTATGGCCTGGGCTTCCTAGTGGCTAAGACCAAGAGGGGAAATAGGATAACTTGGTAGGATGCCTACCACCTCTTCACTAGAACAAACAGGTATTCTTGTTCTCCATTTGTAACAAGAACAACAGGTCCCGGGGATTTGGGTAAAGAAGCCATTAAGCTCATAATGAATAATGTCCTCATGACTTTTTGTAGAAAATGAAAAAATGTTCTCTATGTGTCATTTCATATATTGGCATGTAGAGAGCATGGAGGGAAAACTGTTAAAAGCAATATTTTTTTTTCTCCCATGGGGCAGAGAGAGGGGAGTTTGAAACTTCTGGTATATTTACTGTAGATACATGCTTATTTTCTTTTGAGCCACTGACATGTGGAGCAGTAGAAAGATGTAAAGATGTCTAGTAAAGGGTAGCATTGTTAAAAGTAGGAGGGGATAAATAGAATTTTTGTGGCAGGATGATATTTGAAAGACTGATCAGGCCACTGGGAGGTTTTTAAATATGCCAGTTCCCTGTAACAGGAAGATCAGTCTCTGTTTTAGACAGCATATCCAATTTAGTAAATTATTATTATTCCATCAAAATTAATGTGAACAATTTTCTCTTTGAGGCTGCTTTTTCCATAGGTGATGTTTTCCAGATGGGCCTTGTGCACTCACCATGTTTTGTGTTTTCTTTTCTAGAGAAAGAGGCTTTTCTGACATCTTTGCATTTCTCTCTTCCCCCATTATAGGGAAGAGAACACCCAAAGCAAAGGAGAAGAGGAACAAGAAGAAGAAGAGGAAGCTGATTGAAAGGGCCCAGGAGCAACACAGTGTCTTCCTCGCCACAGACAGAGCTAGTCAGTAAGGGACAAGGCCCGGATGGTGGATTTGGGTTTCTGTGGGTTTTGTTTTTTGTTTTTGTTTGTTTTTTTTGTTTTTTTTTTTTGCAAAGGTGCACAAAGCTACTCTCCACTCCTGCACACTGGTACACAGCCTGCCTCCGTGCTGCTGTGACCGGTGCCTGTTCCCAGTAACATTGTGAAAGGAAGAGCCACGGGTGTGGTGTCCGAGTTATTTATGCTTTGACCTGAACCTGGAGACTGTTGATGCGGGAGCTTGTTAGCCTGACTCAGTGGAAGCAGGCACGTGATGGGCTCGCTGTGTGCTGAGAGACTCTCCCTGGCTCCACGGGTGCTTGCGAGGTGTGAGGCTGCCAGCCACCACCGGAGAAGGGACTTGTGCCTATTTATGTGAAGGATGCTCGGCAGGCGAAGCATGGTTCACCTTGATCTCTGCTTCTCCCATCATGCATTTTCAAGGATAAGTGTATGTGGCTATCTGCTTAGTGTTACCCCACGGTGTCCCAGCGTCTGTGACCTTCAGACTGTTGAGTGATGAAACTGCTTTTAGCTGGGGATGTGCTACGGAAATGCCTGCTCAGTTTCACAGCAGCTCTAATATGTACGTATTCTGCTGGGGCTACATATAAAGCTCTTATTTACTGTATATTTATGCTTCCCTGTATGTAACAAGTCAGACCTGATTAATATGATGTCACTTTGTTTCTAGTGGTTCCTAACCATTGCCTGGTAAATAACTGTTCTAGGTTTGCAAATGGAAAAGTGTCTTGTTGCCTCTTGAAACTTTTTTTTTGGGGGGGCGGGGGTGGGTGGGCTTATTTCTAAGACTAGGATAAGCTAGTTTGTACATAGTCAGTGCCCAGTGTCAAAGCTTATGGACAGACCTTCCCCACTCCATGTGTCACCCACACCAATAAAGCAGCATGTGGCAACTGGCCCTCAGAAGCGACAGTTCCCTTTGAGGTGAAGAAGTGCTGAGTCTACGAAACACGACTGAAACTGGAGGAATTGCGTGCAGTTACTTGAAGGTACCCATGAGGCCCTTTCGTGGGCCAGCTAGAGAATTGTTCAAATTTTTATTTGACTTTAAAAAATGTATAACATTCCCCAAGTCTCAGTGATAGGACATCTACCAGTATTCTTGAGTCCCTGAAGTTGGCTTCATTAAACTATGCATGGAATTTGGCCACAAACCAGGATGAATTCCTAAAACTGCTGGTCAGTTCTTAACAGAATCTCCTTCCTATCCGCAATGGGAACCTTCCCAGGTGACTTTCAGAACAATAGTTTGAAAAACAGCTGCTTGGGGCAACTGGTTCTTAGAGGGTCATGGATTGGCTTCTTCAAAAGATATCTTTCTCTTCCTGACTGATGAAGGGAAGAGTTAGAAAAAAGCAATGTTTGCTGATTTTTGAGGAAATAACCAAAGCAAGGTAAAGCTTTTCTCCCACCTTGCATTGGCAAAACTACCTCTTTAGCGTTTTTGTTAGACGTTTGAGTCAAAAGCATCTTACCAGTAAATGTAACTGTCATATACATCACAGTGGAAATACTGTCCCTAGGAGATAATAAGCCATATGTGAATGTAGTATACAACTGCAGGGCTGGCATTTAGTCCTGAAGTGTTCACCTCTTTCATGTCTATTTACAGTGTATTCCTATTGACTGAGTGGGGAGGGCTCTGCTTTATAGAGTGCTTCATTGTTAAGTCAGCACCTGTTCTGTTTCTGGGATGTTCTTTTTGTGCATTAAAAAATTTCAAAATTACATTTTGTGAAGATTTTCTTTTTACCAAAGACATACATACGGGGACAAAAATGAGAATTTTAATAATTTTACCCCCAAATAATGGTTCTTTAAAAAAATTTGAAAACTGACCTTAGTAGCAATATCTAGGATACTAACTAGTTTAGAGTCAGTTTGCCTAGGGCAAGTAATTTAATCTCTCCAGTCTCAATTTCCTTATCTGTAAAATGGGGCTCACAGTGTTATCTGCCTATAGGGATGTGTTTTGACTAAATTGAACAGTGAATATATAGGGTGGTGTTTTAAGGTCTAAATTTCGTAAAATATTTAAAGAACAGTAAAGCAGCAATAGTACATACTGAAAACCACAAGTAGTTATCACCTTTTTTTTTTTTTATTTTTTACAGGCAGAGTGGACAGTGAGAGAGAGAGACAGAGAGAAAGGTCTTCCTTTGCCGTTGGTTCACCCTCCAATGGCCGCCATTGCTGGCGCGCTGCGGCTGGCACACCGCGCTGATCTGAAGCCAGGAGCCAGCTGCTTCTCCTGGTCTCCCATGGGGTGCAGGGCCCAGGACTTGGGCCATCCTCCACTGCACTCCCTGGCCACAGCAGAGAGCTGGAATGGAAGAGGGGCAACCGGGACAGAATCCGGCGCCCCGGCAGGGACTAGAACCCGGTGTGCCGGTGCCGCAAGGCGGAGGATTAGCTTAGTGAGCCGCGGCGCTGGCCACATATTGATTCTTTAACAAAGTAGAATATTAGGAGAGTATTGGTACCCTTCAATCCATTGCTTGATTTCTAGACATTATTTAAACTTTTATTCTTAAAGGAATTTATTTACATCTGCTGGATTTGAGTTTTCCCCAAAACTCAGTTTATAAGCAACATATGCACAGATATGCATTCACTGCTGAATCAGTTGGGACACAGTCAATGACATAAGCAAGCCTGGGCGTTCCTAACAAGGAATCGAACACCAGGAATTGGTTGCCGAGGTGATGAAAGAGTAAAAGCAAAAATAGGTCAGCAACACAACCCAGAGAAGCCACTGCTGCCCCGAGAGTTAGAGGCGAACAGGAAGAAATGGAATTTCCAGAAGCCAGACACAAAGGCCACCGCATTAGAGTTAGAACCAATGCTGGGACTAGAACAGTAACTGCAGAAGGAGCTGGAACCAAGGACAAAAAATGTCAGGAACTGTGATCTCCTCACTATTAGAAAGATTGCCTGAGTCCAAGTGAGGAGAAAATACTCTAGGTGTCTCAGCCTCCCCGCTTCAGTCTTCCACCAGCGTCTGCTACTGTCCGAGTGAGCCCAGTAGCCAGTGGGCAAGGCAGTCTGGGTGTTGTGCTAGAGTTTCCTGGGAAACAAGGGGTAGATATGAGTAAACTAGCAAAGAGCAGCATAATCGCCAACACTTGGCCTCCAAATGAGCTGCTTGCCTTCCTTGTTCAGTAGTCAATATCCTTACCTCATTAAACCAAAACCTTTGTATTTATCATTTACTTCCATCGCTCTTTTCCACCAATTAGACCCTAAACTCTGAGTGTACTGGGAACGATCGCCTGCATTTCTCTGCACTCTGTCACTTTACTCTAGGAGCTAGTCCTCTTTGTCTCTCTTCTAGACTCATCCATTATGCCTAAATATTTTTGTTCCCAGCTTTACTTGCCCCACTGACTCATTTCCTATTTCTTACAGAATACAGCTTGCTTTTTCACATAAGAGTGTCCTTTAAACACCCTCTTTACCCAGATAATGTATGGAGATTAAGAAAAGACTGAAGGAATGAGATAATTGTTATAAAATTTTCAAGGTTTCTTTTCTGGTAAACTTGGGGGGGGGGCATGTTCACCATAGTGGTTGATGCCCTTTAAATCATGGAGTCATAATTGACTGCAAGGGTGAATAGTTAGTTGGGGCAAGCATTGTAATACAGTGAGTTAAACCACTGCTAGGCACACCTGTACCCCATTCTGGAGTGCTAGCTTGAGTCCTGTTCTGTTCTTGATTCGGTTTTCTGCTAATGCATCCTGAGTGACAACAGACTATGGGTCAAGTGATCAGCCCCCTGTCATCCATGTGGGAGTCCTGCTTGGAGTTCAACTATTGGCCTGGTCCAGTCCTGGCTGTTGTGAGTGTTTAGGAGTGAACCAGTGAATGGACGATATCTCAGAGTGCCTGTCTGCTAGTTCACTCCCCTAAATACTCCAAGAGGCCATGGCTGGGTCAGGTTGAAGATGAGAGCCATGAACCCAATCCGTGTCTTCCGTGTGTATAGTAGGGGCCCAGTTACCTGTGTCATCAACACTGTCTCCCAGAGTGGCATAGCAGGAAACTGGAATTGGGAGCTGGTTATGTAGGCATCATAACTGCTAACGTCTAACGTCTATGCCCACATTACCTTTTAATTCCATGTTAAAAAAAAATTTGAGTGACATAGAGGGAGAGACACAGAACTTCCATCTGCTAGTTCACTCCCCAAATGATCACAATGGCTGGGTTGGGCCAGGCCAAAGCCAGAAGTCAAACACCATCTGGGTCTCCTACATGGGTGGGAGGTGCCCAAGAACTTGGGCCATCTTCTATGTCTTCCCAGGTGCATTAGCCGGGAGCTGGATCAGAAGCAGAGCAGCTGGGACTCAAACTGGTATTCTGATATGGAATGCTGGGATTGCAGGTGGCAGATAACCTGCTTCATCATGACACCAGCCCCCTTAATTCCATTTTTCCATGAACCCTTGAAAGTCCCCTTATTGAACAGTCTGAAAAGTGTGTATTGTATAAAGATTGAGTCAAATTCCCCATATTAATATAGGATGAATTATTAGAGCAAACTGCCATGTCACCTCTGCCAGCTCTACCAGACATTGTTAATCATGCTTTTTTGACTTCTGAACAAAACACACAGATTCAGAATCCTTCCCAGCAAGGGCATTCCAAGCAAACAACTACCAACAGATTGAAGTTGACAGAGAAGTTACAACACTTTGCTTCCCAGGTTCAAGTTAATGCTCCAGAGAGCGACAGTGTTCTTTACCCAGAACTACTCTTCAGAGTGTTCCCTCCAGTGTTTTCATAACCTTTCCACTGAAGTGCATTTAAAGGCAGAGAAGCAAATTCATAACCCTGGATTTATAAACCGAATTGGCATTATTTTAACCTCCATATTAATATACAAATTTATGCAGAATTTGCATTCTCAGTAAAAATGGCTGCTAATTTTTAAATGCATAATTACTGCCCCCCTCCCCGCCCCTAGTGTTCAGCATCCTCTGGGAAAAAAACCTTAGGGTGAAATCGGTCTAGGAAGATGTGCTGTTTATTTGGCCTGGGTTTCCACACATCAGACATAGTCACACTGGAACAGTCACTTATCCCTGGGAGAAAGGAGCACGGTATCTGCTGGTAAGGTTCGCTAATGGCATTGCCAACTGACTGCCCCTTGGGTTTTACAGCGTCAGCTGCTGTGGTGGCATGCTGTCCAGGACATATTCAACTTTGATGTGATTCTCGTCTACCAACCGGCTGCCCCTTCTCCTTGTTAACTTATAACCTTTCTACATGTTATGAGAAGAGGGTCAGCAAATGTTTTCTGTAAAGGGCAGGGAGTCAACATTTTAGGCCTTGGGGGCTAGCTACATGGTCTCAATCACACTCAGCTCCACTATTGCAGCGTCAAAGTAGTCACACTCAGTACCTAAATGAATGGGCATGGCTATGTTGAAATAAAATTCCATTTATGGACATTTAAATGTAAATGTCATACTTTCAATGTATTATGACTTTTTTAAACCATTAAAAATGTAGAATTACCAGCTTATTAGCTATACCAAAATAAATGGCTCTGCAGATTGAGCTTGCAACTGGATTTGCTGGTGCCTAGAAGATATCTATTTGAACAGCAGAGAGAGAGAGAGAGAGAGATCTGCCATCTATTAGTTCATTCTCCAAATACCATGACAGGGCCTGGGCCAGGCAGAAACCAGGAGCCCAGAACTTCTACCAGGTCCAGGGGCCCAAGCACTTGGACCATCTTCTGTTTCTTTCCCAGGCCATTAGCAGGGAGCTGGATTGGAAGTGAAGCAGCTGGGACTCAAACCAGCATTGGCCTGAGATGATACCTTGCTGGTTTATGCACTATCTTTGTAACAGCTGGGCCACGCCCTAGCTGTTATGGGCATTTGGGGAGTAAACTAGTAGATGGAAGATCAGTTACCCCCTCCCTCCCTCTCATCTGCCCCCTCACTTTGTATTTCAAGAAAATGAAAAATAAGAAACCCAAAAAGCAAAAATTTTTTTGCATAAATTTTCTTCTAAAACTTAAGGGATATAAACATCTTCACTACCTTCTAGCGTATCCTAGTCCCTGCGTTCTAATCAGAGAACCACATGCTTCATCTTCTAGCTTTACAAATCAGTACTTGTGTTTTTTCTGCAGTATGTTTCAGTGGTATACTATACCCCCCCCTTTTTTTTTCTTTTTTACAGGCAGAGTTAGAGAGAAAGGTCTTCCTCCCATTGGTTCACTCCCCTAATGGCCGCTACAGCCTGCACACTGTGCCAATCCAAAGCCAGGAGCCAAGTGCTTCCTCCTGGTCTCCCATGTGGGTGCAGGGCCCAAGGACCTGGGCCATCCTCCAGTGCCTTCCAGGACCACAGCAGAGAGCTGGACTGGAAGAGGAGCAACCAGGACAGAACCAGCACCCCAATAAGGACTAGAACCCGGGGTGCCGGCGCCGCAGGTGGAGGATTAGCCTAGTGAGCTGCAGCGCCAGCCTATACCCTAGTTCTTGAAGCCTTCATCTACATGAATTAATGTCCTGGACTCATTTTAAATACAGACAGGAAAACTACTCTTTAAAATATTTTGAATACAAGCTCCTTCACTGCATTCCAGGATCCATAATTCCTTAACTGTGTCCCCTATTACCTTTGTGCCTTTCCTTAATAGAGTTTGACTCCCATTTTCTGTCATAGTCTATGAAAACGTGGTATTCATTGAGTATCTTTTAAAAGCA